TCTGCATTTGAATTTATTGCTTAGGGTATGCGATTGGATGATTCCCTCCTGCATGCCACTCTCCCAAGGATCACAGATCTCTTTAATTACTTCTATTCTGTGAAGTTAATATTGTTCGTTTTGCTAATTAATCTTTTTCTAATGCCCCCTTATACTCCTTTTGGTGGTTGTTCTTATGCATTGCGCTGTGTGTGTCTTGTGAGTCTTTTATTTTTGTATTGCTTCTGTTTTTGTCCTTACCAAATTGCCTGTGTGGTTACATTTAACTCTGTAACATGAATCTGTTTTGTAGGGTATAGAATACAAAATTGGGAAATTTCCATTTGCTGCAAACAGTAGAGCAAAGACAAACGCTGACACAGATGGCATGGTGAAGATACTTAGTCAAAAATCAACAGACAGGATGTTGGGCGCCCACATTTTAGGCGCAGTAAGTATTGTAAATTGTGCAGCTTTCTTGGCCTTGTAAGGGTCTTTTATTTAGTGCCGCACAGTTGCGAAGTAGTTGTCAAGTTAGGGAAATGGTGCTTGTAAAAAGAAGGAAGATTTGAGTCTACCCTAGCCATTTACTGTTCTCTTCTGCAGCCCTGCCCTCCTTTCCACTTTTCTGTTACTTTGGTGTTAGACCCAACATTTTTTTTTCCCCTGGAATTGCTAGGGTTAATTGGTTTCTCTGACCAGTTATTTTTTTTATGAATACCGCCAAATACTTGAGAGAGCAGCAGAAATTGTTGACTCAAGTTCTGGAAGTTGAGGGAGCTGAACAGATTGTGGCTTTTTTCACTGGTGTTTTCTTTTTTCCCCCCCCTCTCTGAACTTCAGACTTCAGCAAAGCTGGTCATCTTATGCCACTGTCACCAAATCTGGGGTCAGTAACTTACGGAACTTTGATTAAAAATCCTTTGTAAAATGAGAAATCAGAAAACTCTATTTCGGGAGAGTATCATCTTCCACTCTCGCACACATTCCAAAGTTAGACCCTAATCTCTCTCTGTTTCTTAGCTTTACATCTTTTTTTTTTTTTTTTCCTAAAGATGTATGCAGAAACACTTTCTTTAAGAGAAACACTAAAACTGCTCTCCATTTTCCTGGAAAGGAAATTTTATTGCTGTGAATGGATATCCTGTCAACACTAGTGGCTGGCTTTTTGTTTCTGAAACCAATTCTTGTAGTTTCTGGTAGGAATACATAAGAAGTTGTTATGCTAGTTATTTTCTCTCACAATGCCTGTCCTTTAAAAATCAACATTCCTTAGAGGAAGCACAAGTTAGGTTTATTGGTGTGAGACAAGTTTTCTTCATTGGGAAAGGGCTGTGGCAATATCTTACTATTGTGGATCTGAATGATAAAAATGTAATGGGAGATTTCACTATTTTTGACTTCTCAAAGAAATGTTCTCTGAGTGAATACACATAAATACAACTCACATTAATAAAAATGAGAGTGCAGATGTAGTTACACGCTTTTGTTTTTCTAGTTACCTGTTTAACTTTCCAGGAGGGCATTCAAGTTTTGAGGAGGTTTCAGTGGTGATCATGTATACTGTAGCTTTGATGAGAACATAGATGTTATCTGACCAGCATCTCCTGGTGGAAAAACACTCAGATTTTGCACAATTCGCAGTAATGACTGAATGCTCTCATTAAGAATTATGTTCTACGCTAGGCTTGGGCATGGTCACCAAATAGATTAAGTATTTATGACTTCGATTAGAACACAGCTGAAGTGCTAGTTATAATACAACTTTGCTTTTTTAGCAAAAGATGCTTATTTACAAGCTGTTAGTGATTCAGGAGAACCTGGAGAACTGCATAAAGATTTGTGCTAATTACAAATACCATTAAATTGCAGGGTGCTGGCGAAATGGTTAATGAAGCTGCTCTTGCTATGGAATATGGAGCATCATGTGAAGATGTAGCCAGAGTTTGCCATGCCCATCCAGTAAGTTTTTTTCTAAACGTACTGTTGTACAGCAGGGTTACACAGACATGCTATAATTACATGTAACTATTAATGACTTGTACCTTTTTGTGTTTGATCTCTACAGACAGTGTCAGAAGCCTTCAGGGAAGCAAACCTAGCAGCATCTTTTGGCAAAGCTATCAACTTCTAAAAGAGCAGATCTTTGTACATGTATGGTACATTTCTGAAAAAGGACTGTGGGCCCTTACGGAAGGCTGAGTCTGAGGATTTTAGGACTGAATTAAGTGAATCTCTTCATTTTAAACATCAAATATTTAAACAAGTAGAGTTTGGAACAAGTGGAATTATCCAGTCTCTGTAAATTTCTTAAAATTACATGTTTATTTACATAATGAATGTTACAGAAAAACCGCCTGACAGAACTCTTCTTCAAAACCAAACATTTCGCTACTGCATGGGATTAGCAGGTGTGCTGGTCAAAACTCTGAAAAGTGTCCAGCATACCTGGTGTTTTTCTTATTTGAAGTAGTTATAGAATAAACCAGTTGAATGCTGGCACTTACAATGCCACTGTCACTTCCGCACAAAAATGTGTTTCCTTCTGAAAGGATTAACTTGGTATTTAACCTGTTTCTTACATATAAGTATCGGAATTTGTTTTGACCTAGTAGTGTTAGGATGCTGGGAGAAGGGCTTGTATAGACCAATTAAAACTATTGACTTTTTAAAGAGAAAATTACTCTGTGTATGTTTTCATATTGAAAACTCATTGGGAAAAGTCGAGTGCTAATGGAGAAATGAAAGTTTGAAGAAAAACTAATCTTATTGCTGCTTAATCTTTTCTGTTTTTAAAACTTCCATTGTCCAGCTCTCTTAAACTTGAAATGCTGAAATTGGTTAGTGAAGCAGCACTTGCTGTTAAGTGCTATGACATGAGGGTTATTCTGCACTTTCCACACAAGGGCTGCAGTGTCAGCTCTCCACACAATTAAGACATACTTTCTTCTTTTCTTCTATTTTCTGCTCTCTTTGTGTCTTTGTCCTTAGCAAGAGAGCTTAATAAATATTTAACATGGCTGGAGGGTCTTCTTGGCCTTTCTTTGCTGATTGGTCCTGTTATTCCTTTTAGTGTCTGTCTTGTCAGTTATGTGACAAAACTCACAAACACATGGCATCTTTGGAAGATCCCTAATGTGGATAGGGAATGTGCCTCATTCCAGTAGCTCATTTTAAGTTTTGTTTTGCAGGGTGCCATTTCATTTTTGTGCTAGGCTCTTCTGCCTTAAAGATTCTGTAATACCTGATGTAAAGTATTCTGTAATACCTGATGGAATTGTACGTGTCCTTTTTCATTACGCCAATGGTATGATAGACGAGAAATGTGCATTCAGAAATAGTGCAAAAGCTACTTAGTTTTGCGTATAGGCAAGAGGTTGTATCCTCCCGCCTTTCTTTAGAGCTTCTTATTAAGTATTGATCCAGCAGCCATAGTGAGCGATGGAAATGTATGCCAATGTTACAGTTTTGTTAAGATAATCAGTTAATCAACAAACACCAGTGATACTGTTATTCATTTTGTTTTGGGCTTTTTTTAACTCCTGTGTTAAGTGTAGATGGGGTTAAACCACAACAGCTCATTAAAGTTATCACCAGTTTATGAGATGACCCAGCATATCCGTGAATTGGAGCAAGTGAATTACTGTGGATCTGCTTTCAGGGGTTAGGAAGTTTCTGAAGGGAAGGCAAAGGTGAGACAACAGTGAGGGAAGAAAAACTCTATTCTTGTGATAGATCTATGCATTTCAGAATCAACTCTACCTGCAGGTAAATGCTATTGTTAGTCTGGTGCTTTGCAAGTTCTTCCTTGCTTTTTCACAGCTTTGTGTCCACTCTCCCCATCTCCCTCAGTCCTTGTGGCGGTTTTACTGCAGTTCAGCCTTAAGATTCATCAGTTACAAATTTTCCTATCTCATTTTGTTCATGTTAAATGAAGTTTGGAAAGTCAGGGAAACTTTAATCAAGAATACTACTGAAATCATACTGGAGACTATAGTGTCCCAGACACTTGAAAATAAAATTCAAGGCCTTAAAGATTGTCACTGTATGTTACACTGTAGTTCCTGTTCTATTTAAGTGTACAGGGACTGTTTGTAAAGGTAAAAGTAAGATGAGCTACAGAGCCACCTGTCGATGGTCTGATGGCGCTTAAGTCTGAATGTTGCAGTTTGCGGATTGTATTTTTGACAGCTGCTAAGTATACTGGCAGTGAAATGGTGTACGATGCTGGTATGCTAATAAATTCCTGTGGTGGATTTTTTTACTCTAGCATTTGTAACCTGTGGAGCTTAAGGGTAATTACTTAAACATACTGCTGGTCAGTTTGCTCAGGTGGTGATACATGGTGCCATAGCTGTCCTGACTCTCACTGATGTTAGTCAAGGCTAGGTAAGGTGCTGATCAAAGTATGTACATAGATGTATTCCTCACGTCGGAGTTAGCAGTTGGGATGTGTAAATGCATGTTGCCATTTTCGGTGCTAATTTGTGTAGCTGATGAATGTTGTAAAATAATTTGTGCAGTCCCATACTATTGTCTGATGGTGCACTGTTCTACAGATAACTTGGGAGCTGAAGTATGGTGAACTGGATGTTAGTCTTGCACTTTGAAAAAAAGTCTTATTTGTGTTAAGCGCAGGCTCTTCTTAGAGAGCAACATCTGTGTACAGCTTCTTAACTGATTCACATTGAGTGCCCTGAGAACTTTAGTTCCTTTTCCAGAGAGGCTTGATCCTCCAAGCTTGGTTTATCGCGTAAATTTGGTGCATGAAACGTAAACCACACTTACCCTTTCCGTGCTGACCTCTTTTTCCACTTCACATACCAAGTGTTAGATAATCAGTGACATGAAACTAGTGTTAAGCCTAAATGGATATAATTCAGAGGGTAAATAATCTTTTTTGACTACTGTGGTGTAAATGCTAGCTCACCACATGCAGATGGTGTATTTCTTCATTCACTTGTAATTTTGTTCTGAGTGACCATCCTTTATTTCTTAGTAATTGGAGCCCTTATTTAGAGTTACGTAGTTGGAGCCAAGATTTTATTAGATCTCTAACCAGTTTAAAAGCAAGACTTGCAGAAGCTAAAGGATTAATCGATTTACCGTTTCAGCTACTGAAATTAGGAAAGAACTTAATGAGTCATACTAGGTACATACAGCGATACAAAAGTACTGTTTATTTTCAACATCAAAAAGTTACTTGTCTTTGGTTCTGTGACTTGGAAGTCAATATAAAACCTTATCAGGTCTTAGTGTAATGTCAAAAGAACTAGTGTAATACTTGTAAAACCCATCCTGAACACAAGGATTTCCTGCTCCCATTTATAAGCAAGTGCTATAAACGGCAACCTTCTGACTGATTGTCTGTAAGAGGGATCGAACTGTCTCTTCTAGCTCCACCAGCTGCTTGGCTTTGTCTTCCAGAACTTTTTGATTGTTTTCATATGTTTTTTCCAAGTCTGTCAGCAAAGGAGGAGGAAAAACAGCTTAATTAGGGGTGTTCTAATGCAGTAAAATGTAAATAATTATCATTACGGATAAGCTGCTCAAATTTATTTGTATTGTGGAAGAGAATCTCATTAGAAAAAAACCAAAAGCTGGAATGGCACCTTTTTTGTTTCCTTAACAATGGGACATAAAGCAACAAGGAAGTAGTTTTCCGTAAGTGGAAATCCAGAAGTATACTTTGATTCATGTTGGAAATAATTGTCCTTCTCTGCTCTATAGTGGCTTTTACGGAACAGTGAAATGTTTTGGCTTGTCATGGTTAAGACTATTCAGTGAGTCACTGTAACTGTGCAGGAGCAGCTAAGGGGAAGAATGAGTTCCTGGCCTGGCAAAAACAGGAAGAAAACTTCGCTCCCTCCCTGGTAGCTATGGGCAGGTTGCCCCCTCCTGTTTCAATCAACTTCTAATAGTCAATAGTAAATGCTGATTTAATCTGTAAACTAGGACTGTCGTATCCTGATTACCTTTTGTTTTAACTTTCTGGGGTGGAGGGAGTAGTGTTTGAAGATGGGGGTCTTGCTTGACTGGCTTAGTCCTCATCCTAAGCACGGTAACTATGTTCCTTCCCTGCAGTGGTTCTTGGAGCAGTGATAGATACCATACCAGAAGTTTGTGTCTCACTCTAAGTTTCTACTTTTTTATAAAAATCCAAAGATTTGGATTCAAATCAAAATTCAAAATCAAAATTCCAATCAAAAGACTGTCATGTCCGTAAGAATAAGGAAAGCAGATCAAGCCTCAGTAACAAAGAATTCAATTTTTTTTCCCTACTGCTGCTGAGTAGTCAGTTTAACAGCATGACATTGCATCATATATCATATTCTAAGATGACGACTTACCTCCTCAGAACAGCCTTACCTTTGAGCAGCTGGAGTTTGCTGTTTGCTTGAGCCAACAAGGCTTTAGCTTCATCTTGCAACATGCCGGCTTTCCTCCTGGCATCAGCCGACTCTTCTGTCTTCTTGGCAATGAGATCTTCCACTGTTTTATACTTGTCGTTCAACTCGGTGTTGAGGACCTGTTGTTCCAGATTCAAGCACAAGATGGAGCTCATTCAAAAGGCAATGCAGCGGGGTTCGCATTTCCTCCCACTATGTTTACTTATCTGCGTGTAAGGAGAGTCTACAGACTCAGTTAACAAAAGCAGACACAGCGTTGGGGTATTTCCTACTTAATGTTCAGGACTCTAAGAATTGAGGTGAAGACTCATTGGTTCCCCTTTTGCAGATCTGTGGTTTTTTTATGGCTTTAATACCAACAGTTGGCAAGGATTTCTGGGATTCCGTTACACAACTCTAACTAATGGAAGCCATGGCCCCTAGTACAGCTAGAAAGCCGCATATGGTCAGGAACTGGCACTGCTTCTGGCTGAATGCTTGCATTTGGGGAGGAATACCCTTGTCACTCTTTCAGTGACGAGAACAGCTGCCTAGTTTGTGTTGGTGAAGGTGCTGTCATGAGTTTAGTTTCTCAGCTGTGCTTTGCGAGGTTAACATTAAGAAGTCCTATGACCCAACTGAATTCAACCAATGAGCAAGTTAACAAGCTGTAGCAGTACTGGCAGTCTGTTATGTTTACTTGACAGCCACCTGAAATACTAATTAGTGTTCAGAAAGAATTGATTTTATGGATAATACATCTCTCCTGGCAGAAAATGCCTCTCTGGAGACTGATGGGCTAACTATAGACAACAGCCTGGAGCAATGAAACTTCCTTTGGCAGATTTGTCAATTGTTTTGTTAATGAGCCTTCTTTTGCTATTAGGAAGGTGTGTAGCAGACACTGGGAGTAATGCCAAATGGTCACAGAGCAAATTTTGCATCTCTGATATTTAGAAATTACTCTGGTTTTATATTGAGCTAATTATTTTTCTAGTTGCTTGATTCTGTATATGCCAAATTCTGGGTTGTTTGTCCTGAACCTATCATTGTCATAGAACCATAAATACTCTATGGAAGGGGAAAAAAATTACCATTTCTCCAGTGGCAGATAGTAAAGCTGAGTGACAGAAACGAATCTATGAAAGGCTGACAGTGTGACAGCATGACAGGTTTCCTGCAGCTATTTTAGAACCTGAAAACTTCCCAATACTACTTTCTGTCTGTATCGGGTACCAAAGTACTGGTACTTGACCCATAAATGAAATGGATCACATGCATTCACTGATGTTCCTTTAGCTAAACCTGGGGTGAGAGTTCTGTTGTCTTTCCCATAGCATCCTTCCTGAGCTTCTCACCTTTTTAACTTCTTCAGCATTTTGTTTTGCTGTAATAATTTTTTCTTCTATATTGTCCACATTCTCTGAATTTGTAGCAGCCTTTTGCTTAAGGTCTTCAACACTCTTCTCTAGCTCAAACAGACGTAAGGTAGCGTTGTTCAGTGTTTCTTCAGATGCTGCATTTTCAGATTCAATCTAACAAAGAGGGACAACAGTTACATTTTCAAAAAACACTGAATATAATTGTAAGATTTCTGGATAAGCCCTGATCAACTAAGTAGTTCCACAGATCTGATATAAACCCCAGTGTTTTAGTTTTGTTACAAATGGCCAATTGCACTCAAGATGAAAGAGCTCTCTGCTTGAAGATGGGGTACATATGGGGCTGCAAAAGCATTATGGAGCATGGTTTAAAATTACCTGATGGTATTACACATGCCAAGAGTTGCCTAACCCACAGGCAAAACTTCAGACATTTGACTCCATCATTTAATAATGGATTTGTGAAGCTGCTTGCCAAGCTTCATGAGCACAGGTAGCATTACTGTCTCATGAGGGCTAGGAGATGAAGTCTGAAAATACATTATCTGACAAAGACTACAACAATTGCCACTTTAATGCAGCGTTCGTTTATTTTAGTCTCATGCTGCAGTGGCGGATGACACTGATAGCATGGCTATGCCAATACACTACCAGTACAGGTGACAGGTATGATTTTCCAGGGATCCTGGCATACCTGCTGTGTTGGAGGGCTACAATCCTGCTCATTTAACTTACGTGGTGCAGGATATGTGGTGAGAAAAGCTGCTTTTTTAAAAAAGCAAATGGTCCCCTAGCATACATTATACTATGTCAAAAGTTTATGAGAAGGCAAGAATGGTTTAGATTTATTTTAAGTGTGGTCTTTAATTTGCAGTACCCAAGAGTCTTCTCTAGACAGGCTTACATCAGTTTCTAAGCATCAGACTTGGTGCTGTTTCCATATCTTAAAAAATACTCATAAAGAACTCACTGATGTCAGCAGGTCTTGAGTTCCTCTAATATCTTCATCAGCTTGTTTGATGGCTTTTTCAGCTGCATTTTGAGCTTTTTCAGCTTCTTCCAGTGCTGCTTTAACCACGTCTGCAGTGACTTTAACATCTGTTGCACCTTTGCTGTGGAGTAGAACTATGTTAATGCTAAAAATTATTTTACTTTGGAACTGGAAAAAGTAGTAGTCAAACACTGCAAAGGCCTATTTTTGCCCCTTAGTGAAGGAATGAGAGTCTGCATCAGGGTAAGTTTAACTCTGCATTTTCTGACACAATGAAATGAAAACCTCATTCAAGCTCTTGGAGACTGAAAGCATCTCGTACAGAACAGGGTTGTGTACCTTGCTTTTTTAGCTTCTTCCAGTAGCATTTCTGCTCTGGCAATGTCTCCAGCGCTCTGCTGCAGAATAATCTCAACATCAGAAAGGCTTTCTACACGCTCACGAATATCTTCTGTCAGGGCTTGCAGCTGCTGGGGAGTGGTTGGCATCTCCATGTTCAGCACTTCGTTAGCCACTGCCTCGATGCTATCCAGGTCAGCGCTGTCTTCTAGTAGAGGGATGCAAATGACAAAGATGTAGGTAAAAGCTTCCCCTGTCAAGTCTCATTACTCAAGTTCTTGTCCAGCTGCTCCCTTAAGAAAGAAAATAATGGGAAAACTTCCTCCCCCAGACTTACAGAATTAAGTCAGGGTGTTAAAATTGCTTCCTTAGGGTGAAGCGGTGTAGGCCCTGCTGGCATAGCTCTCCTGGAAGCCATTTGAAGATGGGGGTGATTAGCTACACCATGGTGGGGCTGTGGGGGGGAGATGCAAGCCCACAGGAAATGAAGCCAACAGCTGCTCATAAATGTATTTGTGCTAACAGTATACTCAGCCTTGTGCAAACAGGGAAGGAATGGGGTTGCCATGCTGCCGCTTGCTAGCGAACAAGGCCCTCATTTAACCTCTACCTGCTTTCTTACAGAGAGAGAAACTGTTTCTGACTTTCCTCCCCTTTAACAGCACTTTGTCTTTCTAGCCAGAACTTATGAACACACTTGGCAAGCTACAGCAGTACAACAGCCTCAGCTGAAATGAACACAAGAACATGTCACAGTTTGCTCTCACTTTCCTATTGTCTTGGTTTTTTCTTTTTTCCAGATTTCACCATACACACACTAAGTCTGACTGAAGGGGGGGAAAGGGGGAGGGGCAGAACTATTGTATTACCCCTTAGAGGATGAGTCAGAGCTAAAGATAGTTTTCACAAACCTAGAATTAAAATATAATTTAAATATAAGATTTTTACGCATTAGGAAGTCTCTAATCTGTTTAATAAGGTTTCTCAGATCTTCATTGCTTCTGTCCACTTGTTCTTTTGTAGCATTGGTTTTGAGCAAAACTGCTTGTGCGTTCTGTTTTGCTTCATCAGCTCTCTGCTTCGCCTCAGAAACCTGAAGAGAGGAAAATGGAAGGCTTGATTGCATATTTGCTTATGCTCTAAGGCCTGTTTTAAAACAAAAATTCAGTTGGAGTCAGAGCTAATAGTAATGAGAAATGCTTTTTCTCATAAAACTCACAGAACACTTTTAAAAGCTGGCCATGATCCATACCACCAATGCTAGTTTAAACAACTCAGACTAATGTTTAGAGTTATCCATGCAGCTTCACTTTAGCATGCTCCCTTTGTGAAGATCTTTACAAGCATTATGAAGTTGCGCAACTGAAAAAGAAGTATTTTGAAGTAAACCAGGCACATACTTTGTCAATTAGTGTCTAAACTTGTGTTACAACTAAAAGTCTGTTTTTTTTTAATATCTAACAATTGATTTGGCATATTACCATTCTGGAGAGTTGCTCAACTTCTGCTAATGCGCTGAGGATGTCTCTGTCAAAATCCATGGCCTTCTGCCAGGCGTTGTGAGCTACAGTCACCAGCCCATCACAGCCAGGTCCTCCACACTTCTTCTTTCCTTCATCTGTTCGACAGTTTAAACCGCCACACTCGGACTCAGCACAAGAGGCTCCTGCAGGAGTGCCACACGTCTGGAGAGACACGTTAGACAAGGGAAACAGTCACAGCTTTTTTGCCACTGCGAGGAGGATAGAGTGGGACACTGCTCTAACATGACAGAAACACGATGTTGTTTCTGCCCCTTGTGGTACCATCCCAAGTACTCCAGGGAAGGAAGCTGAAGTAGAGCTGGAAGCAGGAGGTGGTTTCTGCAGCAGGTCCGTACCACCATGACTTGAATCCTCTGTGCCCCCTGCACTTTCCTGCGTTTACCTTGGTTACAAATGTGAAGCTCCCTGATGCTGAAGTAGCTGGAGGTTGTAAGGGCACTTCTCCAGTACTTCATCTTTCACTGGAAAGCTGCCTTTTAGCTTTGGTTTCAAGCTGGAAGCTACTACTGTCTGTCTGTATGCCCTTTGTTTGCAATCAGTCTTCACTGCTGTTGGAGGAAAAACAGTCCATCCCAATAAGTTATTTTATAAGGAAGAAAGTGTCTGGTGCAGAGTACTCTTTTCCTTTGCTCTAATGCCGCAGAAATGTAATAAGGCAAAATACTACAAGTTGAATCGGAAACTTTTTTTTGCATCCCTTAAAAAGCTGTCCCATTCCACCAAATGTTTGCTTTGATGTCATAGAATCATAGAATGGTTTGGGTTGGAAAGGACCTTAAAGATCATCAAGTTCCAGCCCCCCTGCCATGGGCAGGGACACCCTCCACTTGACCAAGTTGCTCAAAGCCTCATCCAGCCTGGCCTTGAACACCTCCAGGGATGGGGCATCCACAGCTTCCCTGGGCAACCTGTTCCAGCCTCACCACTCTCACAGTGAAAAATTTCTTCCTTATATCTAATCTAAATCTACCCTCTTTCACCCTAAAACCATCACCCCTTATCCCTGATGAAGAGTCCCTCCCCATCTGTCCTGTAGGCCCCCTTTAAGCCTTCTCTTCGTTAGGCTAAACAACCACTTTCATCTTTACAGAACACTTTCCAATTTGTGAATTTTGTTAAGGATGTGTTCCCATAGAAGATTTCACGGTAGACTTTTTTTAAGAAAGCAAAGCTATTTCCATGAGCAACACTGTACTGAGAATTATCCACTACTTGGTCAATTGTTTAGACAATTAAGTCACTTAGGAGTTGTTTAACCAGAGGGAAAACTGGAAAATTCCCCATTCTTGTGAGGTTCTTTTCCCTTTCCACCTCACCCTTTTGCCAAATAATAGTCACTAACTGTACTTTGCAGCCAAAAAAACCTCTCTGGGAAAACCTAGAGGGCTGTGCCAAGTTAGCTGCAGCTGTCTCCTGTGAAGTGTAAATGAGTCCCTCTTACCTGCTTGGCATGCAACCCAGCAGTAGCTAGAAAGCAAAAATATTTTTTTTTTAATGTCCTGTGATTACATCTCCAAGCAACTCAGTGTTTATGGCCTTGATAAACATCTACCCAAGATTTTCAGTCCTCATGAACAGTTAGGCAAGAATGTAGGGGAAGGGAAGCTAAACAAAAAGATGCCTCTCTCTTCCCTGCAGAGAAAAGAGGAGGGCTGGGGGAGTTGGGAGGGATGACAGTGGTTGTAAAGGATGGGACAATTCAGCCTGTGAAGAACTCATCCTCCAACACAGGCCCCGCCAGCCCAGGGGAGTTAATGAGCAGTCCCCTGCAGCCTGCCTTCACACGGGATTGTTCTCTGAATGCAGCTGGCCGACTTCAAAGCAAAAGCGAGGGAACACCCAGCCTCTCCCAAGAAAAAGCCACCCTTGATCATATTTACAGATGAGCAGGCAGCTTCAACAGAGAAAAATGCCCTTTTGACTCCAGTTAAGTTCTGCTTTGTCTGAGACACGAGGACGGGAGGGCAGTGATGCCAAGGATGGGGGCCCGTCAGGCGCTGCCTGCCTGGGCACTGCATGGGCACAGCATTACCCTACGGAGCTGCAAACAGGAAGAGAGGAGCCTAGAGAAAGCAAGTACGTGAACTGGGGGCAGGCTTAAGATCTGGCTCTCAGTCTAGCAGACTCCCCACGCTTTTCTGCATGTGGGAGCTCTGTCCACAGCAAAGGGCACTGGGTTAGAGCCAGGGTGATGAAAAGATGGGTGCTCTGTCAGGGCTGGGGAGGGGTAGGAGGGAGACGAACATGAAAGGCTGGTGCCTGAAAGCTAGTAGCCTACTGATTAAACATCCCTGTTCTAGCCCATGAAATACCCCGTCATCCAAGAAACATTCACTTTTCATGAACAAGGTGTATCTCACACTGTCAAGTTCTCCCCGCCTGTCACTTCTTCACAACTCCCAACTTTATTTTTGCTACAGGTTTTATACAGTGATTCTCAGCCATGTACCTTTTCAGCCACTTCGGAGAGATCCAGGCTCTGCAGCTTGCCTGCGAGTTCATCCAGAAGGCGTGACTGCTCCTCTTGTTTAGCCTTGAACTGGGCCTCCTTCTCATTGATTAAGTCTTCCACTTCCTGCCGCGTTTGCGCTGACAGCTCCACGGCACTATCAGGGTGAACAGTGGAGGCATTGACCCTCTCCTCTGCCTCCAGGGACATCTGGAAATACTTGGTGATACTATCCAGGGCTCCTGCAGAAATCAGTTGGAACTGTTCAGAAATGTGTTAAGTATAATTCATATTACGGAGGTCGGCAGATGACATATCAGGGTTAGTGACATGAATATCGAATTAAATGAAACACTAGCCTTTGTGGCTGTATTCAGTGTCACTGCAAGGATGGCAGAATTCGGCTTTGTGTGGAATAAAAAAAGAAAGTTCATTTTTTTGTTTGGTTGACAGGGTGTCAAGTTTGCCGGATTTTGAAGTTAAGCCTTTCTCTAACCCTAGTGACCGAATTCTGCTGGCCTTGAGGGCAAAAGGAGATCCAGTCTTTTAGGTTTATAGGGCAACAGTCTGTTTTCTAAGGATTCACTTATCCCCCTTAATTGCTTGCCCTGGGATGTCTGGCTTATGGAGTCACTGCTTGGAAACTGGTCATAACTTTTTTAAGAAACAACTACTTGACGAAAGATGCTGATTTATGGAACTGTTAGATTTGGTCAACTCCCGGAGAGGCCTTGAGCAGGTGTGAGGGACCCCATGGAGGTGGCCACGCTCTGCACCTCAGGACAGCTTTCCTCTGCAGAATGCCACAAGTCGGTGACTCCCCCATTCTACATTCTACTTGCCTCCCTCTGCAGAATCACATGTTCACTGGAAACAATCTCAGACTTCCTGTAAAGCAGGAAATTAAAAAAAAAAAATCCTTTGTTTCAAGTTTGAATGAAGTCAGCTTTCAAAATTTCCAAAGTGTTTGGTGACATTCTCTCAGCAAATTTTGATTCTTGGCACATCTCAGTGTGCCAATGGGCACTCAAGGCTTGGGTGGCTCGGAAGGACTGAGCCCTTACAGTGTGCTCTTAAGTCACCAAGACCCAGGTAGTTTTACCAACCAGAAACAACAATTTAACAGACTGGGGTGGGCAAAAGAGATCTTGGAATCTCCCGCACTTTCAGCGCTTGTGTCTCATCTAAAACATTAATTACAAGCCTTTAAGACAACTCCGTGCCCCAAGAACTCGAGCTGGCTTTGCAATGTGCAGAGAGAGAGAGAGAGAGAGGGTGAGGGGGCAAAACAAAATTCCTCACCTCTGCTCATGCACAGAAAGAAGTCACCCTCCTACAAACCAAGTTTTATTACAAGTTAGAAGATTAACCAGGTATTTAAAACCATAGGCTAATTAAATCTTTGGCTGCCCCACTGCTTTCTCCCCCTCCCTGCAACACTTACCCCGAACATCAGAGATCTTGATGAATTCTAGCTGTTCCGCAAGTTCTTTCACCACATGGTCTAGGCTTTTGGCATCTGTCTCCAGTGCGCTCAGGTCAGTGTCAGTGCTATTGCTTTTCACTGCTAAGGCTGACAGGTTTCCTTCTATGTCAGCTATCTTAACTGTAACATCTGCTGTCAGTTTTCTGTAAAATAGAGGCACAGCACTCAACAGAGGGAAGAGGAAGGGTTGTGAGCCTGGGTGCTTCCCTGAAGAGTGGTGGTTAGGGCCGTGCCCAGCTTCTCCCATGGCAGGACCTGTCCTCCCTCAGTGGGGCTGGAAGTGATTTGTAACAACATGCCTACCTAGAATACGGCTTTGTTTCCTTTATCATACAAAACTACTTTTTAATCTACAGCACGTTTATAAACGCAAAGCACTAAATTGTTCAGAAAACAGCTGCTTTGTGTAAGATTAACTGGAGGCAGATTCCAGAGGACTGGTGTAATGTTCTTGTATCATGGCAACTGCATAGGTCAAAGTTGACTACTATGATCCATACATAATTTGCTTCCCATCCCACACAGCTACAAATGCAGTTTTGATTACTACGAGCTCATGGGACAGATTTGAACCTCAGGAAGCTGGGGGGGGGTCTTAACACAATGGATTCTTTTAACTGGTCTGCAAAGATCCCTCCTCACCAGCCATTTCTCTAGGGCTCTGAAGGAAAACCTCCCGCCCTCAGCATTCAGCACGGCCTCAGTGAGACACAGAGCCGGCTTTAGCTAGTGGGATAACCCTAAAAGGAAAAGCAAGTGTATGTTACTCGTCGATGCTGCTGCAGAACAGAAGTGGGCATAGGAAGCTATTCCCATCCATGGTGATCCCACCAATCCCAGTGTTTCCTCATTCTGAAAGAATCAGGCAGTATGTGACCTCTATGATCAATTCACAGCCCCCTCAATAGCCCAGCAGCCTGTTGTTTCCAGCAGTCCTCCAAAGCCAAGTACTTCTATTCAGCCAGAGAAGAGCAAGAACAGATGCATACATACATACATTAGGGAAAAGCAGCTCCTCAGCTGCTCTGACCTCTCTCAGTACACACAGAGCCCAAATGCAGCAGCAGCCCCCACCTCTCCAGCTGGAGAGGGGGATCTGCAGGGCACAAGTGTATCCCTAATTGAGACGTTTGTGCTTTAATCCTAGCCCCTTTGCTTTGTGCAGTCCCCTTTACAATGCACAAACAAGCTCGAGCAGTTGCACACAGGGCTAGAAAGCATCTGTAATCCTACTTGATGTTATACTGCACCATCTCTGAAAGCTCAAACTACCATCTTTTGTGTGCTTAGGCCTAAAACAAAATGCAGGGCTCCTACCCTGAGAAAAATTGAAACAATCCTTTTTATAAAGCTGATGCTTCCCCTCACGCACGCTCAGTGCAGAACGGAGCCCAAGTTTCCAGCTCATCGGCTACACACGGAAATCCAGGAATTTAATCTCTCCCCTCTTCATTCTCTCACATAATAGCAGTGTTTGTCCTCTGCCCTGGGGCAGCACAAGGCAAGCGTGAGTGGCTCCGTGGTAATTAGCCGCCTGATCCGAAGTGGGAGAAGGACAACCCCTGCCCATGGCATGCTAGCTGCACTGCTCCCACCTTCCCTGGCCAGGTTTCTGCTCATGGGACAGATGCTCACCGCCAGCACTGCGCATGGCGAGGTGCTCCACCAGTGTCAGGAGCTGCAGTGAACCTCACCCAGCTGGAGGAGTGGAGCTGGGCTGTCCCCAGCTCAGCGTGGGGGCATCAGTCACTCAAGTAAATCCCAGCTCCCTGGCACTCCCCACTCCCTCCCACGCTAGGCTTAGCCACGTATCTGTGACTGCACTCACTCTGCTTCCTCGAAGAGATTCCCAATGTTCTTCAGTGGCTCTGCAGCTGGATTTTGAGCAATAATGGCTTTAATCTCACTGAGCTTCTCCTCCAGGGTGCTGAGTGTCTGCTGGTACGGGCCAGTGACTCCAGTGACTTTGAGGGCATTAGCCCTATCCAGGAACTGCTGGGTCCTGTTAGCCAGCTCACTGATGATCACATCCCAGAGGGCGAAGCACTGGTGGCACGGCACACAGTCGGGGAAGAAGCCCGAGTAGCCCCGGGAGCACTTGTCACAGCGTGGCCCTTCCACCCCTTCATTGCAGATGCACTGCCCGGTGGCACGGTCACACTGCGGGGTCTGGATCCCACGAGGGTTGCAATCACATGCTGGAAGGAGGAGAACAAGGCACGTGTGAAGGCTATGGCGAGGGAAATGACATTGACATTGACAGAGAAAAAAAAATTAAATATGTTATAATGAAGAGGTGAAATGAGTTTAGAAGTGGTCTGTGTCTGGATTACAAAAAACTATTTACAGATGTGTCTGCTTGGGTATGGGGGAATAAGTGCTGAGTGTGAAAGGGGAGAGAGACGGGGAAATAACTCTAGGGGAAACCAGGATTTGCACATCTCAGAAACAGGCACAAAATGGAGCAAGAATGGACACTTCTTGCGGTGCTTGGGTGTCAACTGGATAGTAACTGGAGACAAAGATCCCTGTTTCACTCCTACAATGAAGTGTAAGTAAAGCAAGGCTTTCCAGACAGGGGAAGAAATGATTGGCAGGCACATAGCAGAGGGTTTAAGAGCAAAACATGAGTGAAATGGGGAAAGTGAACGAGGAACAACCTTGGTGCAGGAGGAGGGGTCAACGGAGGAATGCAGCAGATCAAAAACCAACCACCTTCCCCTGCACCTCCCACAAACATAATAAAAGGAGACAGATGATAGCTGATTACACAGCACTTCGTTAAGTGGCAGAGCTCCTTACCACAAGACACTGTGGGTGCTAAAAGTTGAGGTGGCTTCAAAGAAGAACATGACAAATTTATGGAGTAACAGCCCTTGAGAGATCTTCTATGCAGAGGTATAGGGCCTGGCTCAGGATGTGCTCCTGCCATGGATGGTGGGAAAATATTCCTGACGTGCATCAAGGAGCCTGGCACTGGGCTGATGTTTTAGGCATATAGAAAAAAATCAGGCAGTGAAAAAGATAATTGAAAGAAAGATGCAAACCAAAGAATGTGGTCATGGGCATCCCTGTCTGAGGGGGAAGAGGAAAGTCTTCTTCAGCACAGGTGCCAACAACCAAAAACCTACACACTGCTTGTCACCCCCAAGTGGGAATGAGGGTGATTAACAGGTTTTTTAAAAATTATCTCACATTATGAGCACCATCTCAGGAGTCCGTATTGACACCCTCCTGAAATGGACTTTCATTCTTATTTTATTTTTGTCATTGTGGACACCTACCTATCTTTATATGCTAGTCAGGTAAGACCCAGGGACTCCAGATGGTTGACAAATTGAAGTGGTAAGGTTTGGGCAACACCCTATTTTAACAAGCTGTTAGAAGAAAGATGCACTTCTTTAGCACTAACCCACGACAAAGAGAAGTCAGTTACTCAATTAACTTAGTGATGCACCATCATTTCTAAAAGCACAGATACACTTTGTACACAATAACGCTATCAGGAGAAGCGCTTCCATGCAGCAGGGCTGCCGCTTGACCTCTCCTCCTCCTTAATTATGCAGGCAGCAGCAGAGGAAATTCCCAACCTGCAAAGCTTTTAGTATAGGGATGGAAGCAAAGAACAAAAAGAGAGGCCTTAAAAATGGGCAGGTAATCAACCTGCCATTGTGGCAGAGTGCACCCGAAGCAGGTCAAGCACACATTCATGGAAAAGGACAGTGGTACCTGATAAAAGCCTTCACTTACACATCCATTTACCAGGCATCCTTGAAGGAGGTTAATGGCTCAAAAAGGTCCATAAATCAATTCACACACCCCAAGCACATGCCCCCTTGAAAAAAGGGCAAAACACAAAGCTGTTTTCAAGACTATACATTGTTTGCATCAATGCCAAAACACAGCGGTGGTCTTCAGTTCAAAAACTACACAAAGAACCTCAGCAGAACAAATCGCTCCTCAACAAAACGACTTTCTTGTACAATGTGAATATGATAGGCAAGAGACAAAAATAACTTCTGCTGCCTGCACAATTGAGCAAAACGGTCCTTTGTTCTTTGAATTATACCCTGACACAAGAGATTGTTTTTACTTTACATCAAAAGTGCTTAAGTAGTCAACTCACCATGGAATATGTTCCCTGCAGGCAAACCATCAAGTTCCTGTTTGAAGGAGGTCAGTTAACCCTTCTGTCAACTAATAAGGCCCTCGGTATAATGATGAATTGTCCAAATTCCTCTGCACAGGAAGAGACTAAATGGCATGTGGTTTTTCTCAAAGATCCTGACATCTGATCAAGTTACATGAATACTTGCTGCTGGCAAATCAGATCACTATATTTACTTGTGGATTTAAAAAGCTTAAAGTGAAAAAAAAAGAAAATCCATGTTGGTAATTCTACTCTTGAATACCTGCATGTTCAGGAAAGGCAGATGACATGGCTTTAGTAGCATTTACATGGTAATGGGGATTCCAAAATCTCTGGAGACAGAAAATGCTGAGGAAAGGGAGAGGAGAATTTAAGTACTAATTAGTTTGCAAAGTGAAACCCCAAACTCCATAGCTGCCTTTTGGGAGATGATAAAGAACAAAGAAGTAACTTATTCTACATACAGCACAACAGTTCGAAGAATCATCACATTTCTAGAATTCTATGAAACTCCAAACTGAACTTTGTGGGATCCACGAGAAAATTGTTCAAGGCAGCTAGAAACATTACTGTGGGTTATTTCTCCAGTTTACTATTCTATTTCAAGCCCAGAAGCAGGCAATGCTGGCTCTACATTTCCTCAGTAGTGTGAATCCAACAGATGTAAAATGGCTTTCAAAAGGGCTGGTTCCCCACTTATTCCTTCTTTTCTTCATGATCTTCCAAAGTCATTAACAATGCACAGGACCACACCAGCTTTCAAACAAAAGATAAAAGCTGAAGATAATTTTATACCTATTTTTAAGTAAAATAATAGTCTAAAGGAAAGCAAGAAAAAGCCTCCCTCAGAACTGGAATAAGAAGATTCCAGTAGAATTTCTTTTAATTTTGAACATTTGTGAACCATTTGTACATACATGGTGGTGGTACAGTCTCTCTAGCTACAGCCCTCGGATAATTCCTTACTGTGGTACTGACTGAAACATTTTTGAAATTCTCACAAAAGCATCACTGCGCCTCTTACAGCTCACATCCTGTGAGCAAACCTTTCATCTCACAAATGACACGTGCATGCCAGGGTTTGGTTACATGTGATCTTCTTTTTTAGAGTCTAGATGACCTTAGCCAAGCGCTTCAGCCACAGCTGAAATCATCTCTGTTCCTACCCAGACTCAGTCTCTGAGTGCTTCTATGAGATGCTGGGTCCCCATTTCTGGACACCACATTAATAACTAAATCTGGCCAGACAGAAACCCAACAAAACTGCTCTTCTGCTCTCCAACGCCGTGTGGAACAGGACCTCCACCATCTCCAGTGCCTTTAGTGGAGGAGTCCTGTATCCTGTGCCCTGGCCACCACCAGCAGGCTACTTCCCACCCTGGCACGGAGCACACCCAAGGCCCTTGCAGAGAGCATCTTCTCTTTGCAGTAAACCCTCAGCTTGCTTCAGCTGTGATGACTTCTCAAAAGGAGGTAGGCAAGCTTGGGACAAGATCATACAAAGCCTTCTAGGTGGTGAGGAGCGCCTTGAACACAGTGGGCCACCAGGCAAAGAGCTCAGCACATAGGTTTCAGCTCTTTGCCTCATGCAACACCTGCTTACCAAGCACACACTGGCTTCAGTCTCTGTGGGCTTTCAGGCCACAACTTTGTCCTTAAGTTAAAAAAAGGAAACTTTGTCTTGAAGGGACAAAAGCACAGTGACAGTGGCAGGATCCATATCAAAGGAAAGGAGGACCACCTAGCTGGTGCGGACTGGAAAAGGCTAGCACAAGATTGGCAAGTAGCGCGAGGAAGAATAACTGAGTTGCACATCCAGCATTCATGACAGTGGGTGCACATCCCCCCAGAGAATTCATGTGACATTTGATTATCACGACCAATGAACTGGGATGTGAAAGCAGGGGATACCTTGATTCCCATCACCTGCTAGAACGACAGTGAAAACCATGTCAGAATGACCCAGCATGCCATGCCCAGCATCGTTTTTGATGAAAGTACTCCACCATCACATTTAATCACAGTAGAGTTCTTGCTCCTCTAGCACCTCCTTCATTAATGTCCAGCTATCCCTATGGCCACCACGTGAGCCAGATCCTATGCAGACCCGAGCTAATCTGATGTACTCAAACAGGCTAACCAAACACAACCTTCAAACTATAGCTCGGCTCTGGAGATTTTGTCTCTAACCAGCACACTGCTAAGTCCGAGGTAACACCTGAGTAGCTACACCACATCTCATTTTAGCATATGCCTGGTTTATCTGATTTTCACCGAGAAGAACGAGAAACACGCAGGCACATCTAGGGATGCAGAAGTGTTTCAGATATCGTCTAGCAGCTAGCGATGGCTTTATACTCCACCTAACATAGTATCTGTGGGATA